CCCACCCACACACCCACCCACCCCTAAACCCACCCACCCACCCACCCAGCCAGCCAGCCAGCCCTCCCTCCCTCCCTCCCTCCCTCCATCCATCCATCCATCCATCCATCCATCCATCCACCTTCCGCCCAGTTTTCGACATGTATGTGCGTTGCCTTCTTCTTCTCTGCTTATTCCCGCAGACCTAAACCCCAAAACCTGAACAGCACATGGCCAGAAGCTACTTCCTCGTACTTGTCTAAAAGGTTTCATGTTTGATCCCTATAATAGCATAGCACTAGAGGTAGGCTACAACGAACTAGGCTGTGGTGGCTTGAAGTACACCCAAACCTCCCCAACCCCAAGCCTCAGCCACCCAAAACCTTCAAAGCCATTGTGCACCATACAGTGCCCCAATCCCAAGTCTTCCAAGCCCCTTCAGTAAAATCGCACAGAGCCCTCATGCTGTGGTTCTCCTCGCAAAAGCCGTAGCAGCATAGTGGCTCTTGTAGCAACCTTCATGGTTTCAAAGATCGTGCTGCTTCGAGGAACACCTGCAGCGACGAGGTCCTCGAATTCTGCCACGCCGGCTTGGCCGTGCCCAAAGCCCGGGGCATCCGTGTGCTTCTCGGCTGGTTTAGGATTTCGACTTCGGGATCTCCTTTGAGTTTACCTAGAGTCTCCATTGTAGTTCCCTTTTTTGGTTAATTAACCAGTTTTATGGTTAGGATCCTATAATAGAGATTTTGGTTTACCAAAAAGAAGGAACTACAATGGAGACTATAGGTAGGACAAGGACAGAATAAGGGAACTACGTCTGTTACTTGTATCTGCATTCGAGAAGCTTTTGGCCTTACTTGGGCTTCCGTGGACTTTCAAGGGTACCTGATAATCACTTATCGTGGGGCTTAGCGACCAAAGTGATTGCAGTCTGACCCCAAATCCTAAACACTTTAAACTCACTAAACCTCTAACTCTCTAACCCTAAACCCCTGAAGCGCAAAGCCCAACCCCTCAAACGCGAACCGGACCCTTCCGGCTAAGAAAACCCCACGCGCACCCCGAAACTGTTGACTCTAAGCACCTGAAGACCCGGAGTCCTTCTTTGCCCCCTCCAGGTGCAGATACTATGCACAAAGGGGGTTCAAGTACTCATGAAGTAATTAGGGCTTGCGGCACCGAAAACGGGCATTGGAGTCTCTGGGAACAAGAACTAAATCCTAAACCCCAAGTCCTAAACCCTAGAGCCTAAACCCTAAACCCTCAAAAGGAGCCTAAAAGGGACCTATCCTCTTAACAGATCCCTTTAAAGGAACCCTATAGATCCCTTATAGATCCCTTTCAAGGGACCCTTATAGATCCCTTTTAAGGAACCCCTATAGATCCCATTCAAGGAACCCCTATAGATCCCTTTTAAGGAACCTTTTAGATCCCTTTAAAGGAACCCTTATGGATCCCTTTCAAGGAACCCCTATAGATCCCTTTTAAGGAATTACTTAGAAGCCAACCCTAAACCCTAAGTCCTAAATTAGCTTAAACCTTAAACCCTTAAAAGGGCCCTCATTAACAGGGACCTACCCTCTTAACAGATCCCTTTAAAGGAACCCCTGTAGATCCCTCATAGATCCGTTTAAAGGAACCCTTATAGATCCCTTTTTAAGAACCCTATAGATCCCTTTTTAAGGAACCCTATAGATCCCTGTTAAGGAACCCTACTATAGCTCCCTTTTAAGGAACCCTACTATAGATCCCTTTACAGGAACCCTTATAGACCCCTTTTAAAGAACCCTACTATAGCTCCCTTTAAAGGAACCTTTATAGATCCCTTTTAAAGAACCTTATAGATCCCTTTTTAAGGAACCCTATAGATCCCTTTTAAGGAACCCTACTATAGCTCCCTTTACAGGAACCCTTATAGATCCCTTTTCCGGAACCCTACTATAGATCCCTTTAAAAGAACCCTTATAGATCCCTTTTAAAGAACACTATAGATCTCTTTTAAGGAACCCTACTATAGCTCCCTTTTTGAGGAACCTTTATAGATCCCGTTTAAGGAACCCTACTATAGCTCGCGTTACAGGAACCCTTATAGACCCCTTTTAAGGAACCCTACTATAGCTCCCTTTACAGGAACCCTTATAGATCCCTTTTAAGGAACCCTACTATAGATCCCTTTAAAGGAACCCTTATAGATCCCTTTTAAAGAACCCTATAGATCCCTTTTTAAGGAACCCTATAGATCCCTTTTAAGGAACCCTACTATAGCTCCCTTTACAGGAACCCTTATAGATCCCTTTTAAGGAACCCTACTATAGATCCCTTTAAAGGAACCCTTATAGATCCCTTTTAAAGAACCCTATAGATCCCTTTTTAAGGAACCCTATAGATCCCTTTTAAGGAATCCTATTATAGCTCCCTTTTAAGGAACCCTACTATAGCTCCCTTTCAAGGAACCCTTATAGATCCCTTTTAAGGAACCCTACTATAGCGCCCTTAAAAGGAAACCCCAGAGCTCCTCGTAGGCTGCACTGGCCGGGCGGGCCCTGGAAGCCTTGGGAGCGACGAGCCGCTGAGCTGCGCACCGCTGTCTCCCCTTAAAAAAACCCTGAAGCCTTACTGAAAGGTTCCTTAAAGGGCTCCTTAAAAGGGATCTATATGGGGCTCCTTAGTGGGATTTATAGGGTTCCTTATAATGGGATCTTTAGGCTTTAGGGCTTTGCCCTAAGGGTCCAAAGAGTACCTTTGTGGTAGAATGTAGGGTTCCTACATTAGGAATTACTATTATGATTTGGGGAAGTATCCCCCATAACAGTACTTTGGACCCTTTGGGTAAAGCCCTAAGGGTCCTTTCAAGGGATCTATAGGGGTACTGTAAGGATCTATTTGAGGGCTTAGGGCTTTAAGGGGTCTATAAAGGGTCCTTTAACGGGATCTACAGGGGTACTCTAAGGGGTCTATGAGGGATTAGGGTGTGTTTTTGTGTTTTGTTTGTTTGTGTTTAGGGTGTGGGTTTTAAGGCGTTGAGGTTTAGGGGTTCGGGTCTGGGCTCATAGTTTTGCAGGACTAGGGACTAGGGCTTGTGTGCTTTGTGCTTCTTCTTGGTTCAATTCGTTTGGTTTGCTGCTAGAGAAGCGCAGAAACATATACCCCCAACCCCGCTCAGAAGCGAAAATCCAAAACCAAACCTCCTAGACCTTAACCCCCGGACTCGGAAAACCACAAGAGATCAAAACTCCTTACCTTACCTTGGGTTAGTAGGGAATGGAAGAATGGTAGTAATAGTAGTTATACTTGTACCCCATTCCTCCATTCCCGACTAACCCAAGGTAAGTTACAGAACCTCATGGAGCCCGTATAGAACCCTAAGGCTCCATGTAGCCATACAGTATACACCTAGGCCTCAAATTGTCAAAGTACCTATATAGGAACCCCTTTAAGGCCCAAGTCTATACTATATGGGCACATGGAGCCTTCGGGGAACCTGGTAGCCCTTAAGAGACAAAGGCGCCTTTGACTCGATCCGTTGCCGATGAGCTTTGGTGGAGCATCGACGATCTCCTGCGAAGGAAAACAACGAAATCGTTTGGGAAAAGGTTCCTTAAAGGGCTCCTTAAAAGGGATCTATAAGGGTTCCTTATAATGGGATCTATAGGGTTTAAGGTTTAGGGTCTACTTAGAGCCCAAAGGGTCCAAAGTACCTTTATGGTAGAATGTAGGGTTCCTATGTTAGGAATTACTATTATGATTTGGGGAAGTATCCCCCATAACAGTACTTTGGACCCTTTGGGTTTGGGCCTTGAAGACTTGCGTCTAGTGCCAGGGGGTTCGGGGTCACATGGAAGGTTTTGAGTGCTTTCGGGGCTTAGGGTTTAGGCAAACAAGAAGAATGTCTGGGCCTGTAGGGCTTACCCAAACCAAAAGGACTGGCTACTTGGACTCTTCCGTCGCTTTGCAAAGCAACATTGTCTAGTTAGTTGAGTTTGGCACCCAGGATGTTCAGTGTGTGAGGGGATTTGGGTTGTACAGTTGCAAGTGGGGAGGCCAACCACTTACCCTACACTGAGAATTTGAGAATTTTTCCGTTTAATGATATGTGCCGTCATTGCTGTCTATCTCCTTCTGAGGGCTTGCATGTCAGGGAAGCACGTTCTTTCAGGCGCGAAACCTAAACACTAAACCTAAAATCTTAAACCCTAAACCTAAACAATCAACCCTAAATTACAAAAGCCATAAACCTTTTGAACCTAAACCTTTACCCATACCTAGACCAACTACCCTCCTATGAACCTCAAACACCCACTAACAAGGGAAATAAGGGCTCTACTAACGGGCCCTTGAGGGGTCCTGGTACACTCTGAAGCTGAAATGGTGGGTTCATGAAAGCTGCACCGAGTTGACCAAGCAAGTTTGGTTCGCCATGGTTGCTTGACCGAAGCACGTCTGAAGCCCTAATAGGGTTTTGGGAAGTTTAGGGTTTAGGAAGTTAGGGTGTAGGGAAGTTTGGGGTTTAGGAAGTTAGGGTTTAGGGAAGTTTAGGGCTTAGGAAGTTAGGGTTTAGGGAAGTTAAGGGTTTAGGAAGTTAGGGTTTTGGGAAGTTTGGGGTTGAGGGGTTAGGGTTTAGAGCCCCGAAGACCTTCCAGGACCTCCCCAAAGGGCCCTTTAATGGAACCCTTATGGCCTTAATAATTGGGTATTTGGGGCATACTAGAAGGTAGTTGGGGGCGGGGGGGGGGGTCTAGGGTTTAGGGTTTAGGGTTCCGAAAGCATCAGACCCCTTTATAATGATGCATCAGTTGAGCTTCGCCGCTGCTTCAAGAAGTCATAACAAACATGCAGTCATTACCGCAGTCTGCCACGCACCAGCCCTACAACCCTACAAGCCACCCAAGTCCTTAACCTGACACCGCTTTAACCAACAATAACAACTCCTGAACTGCCCCAAGCCTCCTACTGTACACACTTTCACTTTATCTTTTGCCTCTTTGAGCTTCCCGCCATCAAGTCGCGTGTCTTTTGCGGCCATGGGTTGCTGTCAGGGATCGAGCGCTTCGCGGGTAGAGGCGCAGAACCCTAACACCCCCAAACCCTAACCCGTTGCTTGTGCTTGACATGAGAAGCTCTTTGGGTGAACGGTTTCCGAACAGGTATTACCTATAGTCTCCATTGTAGTTCCTTTTTTGGGATTTAACCAAATAGACATTAGTGATCCTATAAGGTAACCCCAAAAAGGAATTGACAATGGAGACCATAGGCAGGGTTTCAGGGTTTAGGGGTTTAGAGTCGAAAGCCTGGGGTTTTGTTCAGAAGCACTATAAACCCTAGCCTTTGGCTTTGAGGTTTCCTAGCCGTAAATCCCGAAGCCACTGAAAACCCCGGCTGCTGAAGGGATCTTGGGACTAAAGTAGGGTTATAAGGTAACTTTATTTATCATGTACTCATGACCCCACGTAAGATACTTATAAGCTGACGGGTTGAACACTTATAAGCTGATTGGTTTAACGAGTCCCAAACCCTAAGCCCCAAACCTAAAAGACCGGACCCCGAAACCCTCAGAGGCCCGATCCCTAAAGCCCCCTAAACCCCTAAACCCGGAACCACCCCAAACCCGAAATCCAAAACCCTAACCTTAGATCCTGCACCCTACACCCTAGATCCTAACCCCTATAAACTTAGCAGCTGAGTTTATAAACTTTAAACTTTTCGGGATAATGCAACCATCTTAAAACTGGAAGTTTAAACTTTATTGGGCTTATGCACTCGGCAACTAAGTAAAACCCTAAACCCTAAACCCTAAACCCTAAACCCTAAACCCTAAACTGTAAACCCTAAAATTACCCTAGGCTGAGCAGAGGGGCTTTGGGTTCTGCCACGAAGGCCGCCGCCGCGCCCTTGAAGGCATCCAAGGCGAAGGCACTGGAGGGAAGAGGGTTGGATTTCGGAGCTTAGGGTGCAGGGTTTTCCTAGACCTCCCAACTACCCTCTACCCTGGGGCTCCTTAGTAGTTCCTTTTTGGGATTACCATATAGGATTCTATATTATGAACCCCAAAAAGGAACTACTAAGGAGCCCTAGGGTATACACCCAAATACCCATTGTTAAAGGCCATTCGAGAAGAGTTGGGGGTTTTCAGAGCTCAGGCTTCTCGGACGGGATGCCAAACTCAGGTTCAGGGTGTACCCTAAGGCCCCAAAGTAGTTCCTTTTGGGGGGTCATATAAAGAATCCTATCAGGTAATCCCCAAAAGGAACTACTTTGGGGCCTATGGGTAGGGGCATTGGGTTTCGCATAGGTGTTCTGGTTCAGGGTTACGAACACTCGAATTTGAGCCCAGCTACCACAGCTCCGATATTCAGGAGCTGCGCTTCACAAACGGTTGTACACTATGTATTGTGGGGTTCACCAACTCCGATATAGACAGTCCGACCTCACCCGTTTTGTATCCTTGTCGTAGGCACGTAGCGTTAAGCCTATATTGCGTGTGCAGCAGCCAGCGGGTACACAGAGCAGAACCATTAAGGGAACCGTTAAAGCCATTGACTGCAACACCTGTTAGTCGAGGCATAATACAAGCACGACGCTCTAGTTAAGTCCTCAAAACTGTGTGAATTCCTGGCTGGTAAGGTCTCTTCTCGAATCGCAGCCTTACGCCTTCTGAGATTTTTAGATGAGGGTGTGCGTGGTTTAGAGCTGCGGGTGAAATTACTGTTCACGATATTTGCAGCGACTCTTAGCGTGCCGTAAGTGTTGGTTTGAGTGTTGGGGTTCTATGCACCGTCGCCTGCGTGCCCGAATCTGTGAGACCACGGTACAACCAGTCGATGTCGGCTTTGCACCGAGAACATACAGACCCTCCCTAAATCAAGAAGCTGGAACTGAATATCGAAGTTTCCAAAATAAGCTTGCAAGACATATTTCTCACGAGGGCCCATATACATCCCCCGAAACCCTAAACCCTAAAGGCACCGAATCCTAAACCCTAAAGTTCTCAAAGCGTTGCCTGAACACCACAGTCACGACGGTTTTGGGGAATGGGAGTTCTCCCTGCCGTCGATATGAACTACAGTCACTAGTATGGTTCGCGTACCTTCCCTGGAGACAGACAAATGATCGCCTTGCCTTTGTTGAGAGGCTTCTAAACCCTAAACCCTAAACCCAACAAGGCCCACTGGACTTGCAGCAAAGACCGCATGTCGCCGCATATCCGGGCCCCGCGGATTCCTCAGTCGTCACGCTGAACCCCTTGGGTCGCATGAAGGTGCAATCACCCATAGGCCCCAAAGTAGTTCATTTTTGGGATTACCTTGTAGGATTCTTAAAACTTTTTTGGGATTACCTTATAGGATTCTTGATATGTTTTGGGATTACCTGATAGGATTCTTAATGATAACCCCCAAAAGGAACTACTTCCGGACCTAAACTCTAAACCCCAAGCTCGGAATTCTAAACCCAAAACCCCGATTCTTAATATGAACCCCTAAAAGAACTACTTTGGGGCCTTAGGCTAAGGGCTGTGGTTCAGACCATGTGGAGCGCTCCCGAGAGCCTTGCTTGCCTTGGCCGTACAGCTCCCGCCAGCCGGGAGGGAAGCTTGGCTCAGGTTGCTCTTGCCAACTTCCCCATCATCGGCATCGGGCACAGCTGCTGCTCCACTCCGGAAGCCATCGAAGCGTGGCTTCTCGCTTTGGCCTGCGTGTATGCATTGAAGGCTGGGCAAGAAGGTTCGCAGCCTCAAGAAAGAGCGGATCAAGGTGATGGTGGGTGTGCATGAGAGGTTGTCGGTCGTTCCTGGGCCTGTCAGCACCAGTCCGTGCCCTGGACGACCAGTTTGGGTCCCAGCACGCACTGGCCACAGTGACGGGGCTTGAACTTGTCACATCAAAGACATCCTTGCAGAAGAACCCGGCGGTCGGCAAGGATTTGCTCCTCTGGACGCTGGAGCAATGTGGTCCATGTTAAAGGCGGGACAGAGGATGCGGTGTGGTTGCCGAGCACTTGCAGCCGTTTTCAACCTTAAACCCAAGGCCCTAAACCCTAAACATTTTCGAGAACTACCCATACAGCAAGTGACAGCAAGTGCGATTAGACCCGATCAGCGCCCCTTTGTGCCAAAACACACCAGTATCGGCAAAGCTAGTGCCGCTTTGCAGGCTCCGGTGTCTAAGGATGTCATTGACAAGAAGGCCAGGGCTTTAGGGCATGCTGAGGGTTTAACATGTAGTTTTCAGGGTATACCCATAGGCCCCAAAGTAGTTCCTTTTAGGGATTACCTTATAGGAGTCTTAATATGAACCCCCAAAAGGAACTACTTTGGGGCCTTAGGGTGGGGTAAACCGGGACTCAGGAAGCACACTTATCAGCACGGTTGCTATAATCACAGGTATTTGTGATTATCTATATACAGCGCTTGTGACAACCCTTAAAGAAACCCCTAAACCCTAAACCCCAACCCCTAAACCCTAAACACTGGCAGAATCCCTTGTAACCAGCTCTGTGAAAGGCCTGTGAAAGGCTGGAGGCCGATAGAAGTATCAGGACCCCCTAAGGGCCCTTCAAAAGAGCCCTCATGACCCTTAATGTTGAGTATGTGGGGTATGTTACAGAGTAGTTGGGGGGGCTAGATATACCCAGACCTTCCAAAATCCCTTAATTAAGGAATATCCCTTAAATTATAGTAGGATCCTTAATATGATTTAAGGTATATTCCTTAATTAAGGGATTTTGGAAGGTCTGGGTACCCCAAAGCCCATTCTAATTGCTAGAAGACCCTTCTCTTCATCCCTAAAGTTTTCACGATCGCCGTCAACCCTTCACAACTCCAGAAAGCCCTTGAAAACTCCAGAACTTGCAAAAACAGAAAGTGCTGCAGTCAGGACACCATAAATCCTTACAGAACCCTAGAAGACCCTAGAGCATGCTATACAACTCTGTCATGTCGTCCCTTCCTTTGACAGGTCGCCCAGGCCAAGTCTACGCGCGTCCTCGCACTGAGGGAGTCCCCTCCCCGGGTGATTTGCGAGGGCGGCTTTACTTAAACGTGCTCTGGAGTGTTCATCGGGCTTGTCTAAGCTCTGTACGTATTGTATGGTGTTTATGAGGTTTTATGAAGGACTTTTACAAGACATTTTGGGGTTGGGTAGGTGTTTGTGTCCAGGCGATGCCCATAACGGACCGTGAATTCAAGCAAAGGTTTTGACTTGTGGGGGATGAGGGGTGGGAGTGCTGGGCTCTGTTAAAGAGTGTCATTCAAGTTAAGTTGCTTTAGTAAGGGATCCATATAGGCCCTCATTATTGTATCTCTCATGTTGCAGGTCTGAACACAGTTGTGCAGTTGCGTCACAATTACAAGGTGCTATGAACGATGTTCGTGTGAGTTTTCGACAGAAACTGTCATGATTAACAATGTTGCAGCAAAGTATGGGTGTGGTTCGTGTTGTACGAATTTCTTGGTGGTTGCAGGCTTGGTATTGAACAGTTGGTACGGAGTTAGAGTGGCTGGTATGAGTTAGTAGGGAACCGGTCTGGCATTTCAAGGCCTGCAACCTGTAAGCCACTGTAAACCCTGTATAAGTCTGAGTCATAAGAGTTAAAAGAATACGACCCCAGAGGCCCAGCAGAGCATAGGTTCAGAGGCCCCAAGCTTAAGTAAGCAGAGGGCATGTTTCACTTGACTATGGACGCCACTTTGGCTCAAGATAAAAGGGGCTTTGCAGTTAGATGCCCTGGTTCTTTAGAGGGTTGGCCGGGTTTAAGTACCTTCCTTCCCTCTTGATTGGTTATCAGCCGTAGCTCTTTTTGGTTTCTTTGGTTTCCTACTTGAACCCGGCCGCAGGGTTTTAGTGGTTCTCCCTCGCCATAGCAAGAGCGCAGCCTTAGGCGCGCTGGCAGGGCAGAGTGCTAGTGGGGTGCTGCCTTGTGCGCACCGGCTAGCATATGCCTCCGAAGCGAGACGGACAGCCGGCTGGAGAAAAGCCTTATCGAGGCGGCCGGGCTGGATCCAAGAGGAGAAAGCTCCACTTTTACCAAGCGCAGGACGCTCTGATCCACCTTGCTGAGACGGTACAGAATATTATTGTGCAGCGTCGCGAGTTTGAAGGCGTCTCGGACGCACACTACGATACTGTCATCAGGTTTGGTCAGATCACCGAACAGGTGGACGTATATCATCCTGTTTGGGCCGACTTGGTCGAGTACTACCCGGAGCTGTGGACGGCGTTTGCAGACGTCACAGCTGAACCGGCGACTGGGTCGGGAGCGCGCTGGAGGCCGAAGGCAGCAGCCAAGGCGAAGGCCGCCGGAACAGGGGGTGCAGCTAGCAGCGCACCGCAGGAGGAGGAGCAGCCGGCCACAGCGTCAGCAGCAGCGCCCGCCGAGGGTGCAGCCGCGAGCGCACCGGCGCGGCCACCGACACCTCCGAAAGCACCGGCCCTTGGAATAAGGGGACCCACGCGGGACCTTTACTACAGGGGCCGGAGCGACCCACTCAGGCGGAGAAGTGTGCCAGCAGAAGCAGAAGAGACGATCGAAGATTCTGGCGCACGTCCTTCATCCGAGCCACCTGCAGCCGAAGGCGAGGTAGACCTCACAAGTGCTGGCGGCAACCCGCCCGAGGATTCTTTGCGTGCTTCCCGGCGTGTGCGCACACCGCCGTCGATAAGAACACAGGAGGAGTTACGCTTGGAAGAGCTTAGGCTTCGCGGCTCGGTGTTTGCCTCTTTTAGGGACGCCGAAGACGCGGAGCCCGAGCAGGGCGACCACCAGCAGGAGGCCACCGACGGGCAGGAGACCGAGGAGGTCGAGGTCGAAGTTGCCGTGGAAGACGACGGGGGTGCTGCCACAGGCGCACCGGACGACGCCCAGGCAGCAGAAGGCCGTGAGGCAGAAGGCGCCGAGGAGGAAGAAGCAGGAGAAGAAGACCCAACCGTTGAAGGGGTCCCTGCAGAATCAGACGCGACAGTGTCACCGGTCCCCTCGGAAGCCGCAGCCCCGACCAGAGAAGTGCGCGTGAGTGTGGGCCGCGGCCGGGGTGTGACCCGAAGGCCGCTTATCCTGGCACCCGCCACCGAGACTTTCCCCACAGTTCGGGTTGATAGTCAGGGTGCTTGGGTTAGGGTTAGGGATCCTAGTGCAGTTCCCTCCTTTCAGCGTCGTGCCGTGCCCCCCCCGAGGGTGCAGCGCACCGCGCACCAAGGGGACGCAGAAGAAGCACTTAGTGCACCTGATCCGTTTGATTTGCCCAACGACGCGTGGATCGACCCACATTCTTACCGGGAGGCCTATACAGCTAGTGGGGTTCCTAGGGGTGTGTCCGTAGCGCGCATAGACACCAGCTCAGAAGAGGAAGGTAGGCAGCGGGGTGCTGCCTCAGGCGCACCGGCAACACCCAGGGCACCACCACAGAGAAGGCCGTTCCGACAGGGTGAGATCGTGGAGGCTGAGGTGGAAGAGACAGCGACCTTGAGACGGCGACCCGCGACTCCGGAGGGAGAGCCTCCAACGAGGCGCCCCCGCGTTGTCTTGACCCCAGCGTCCAAGGCATCAAGCGTCCCCGCCACAGCCAGCGCACCGTTGAGGGTGACGCGCCCGCCTCCAAAGGCCAGGCCCAGGACCGCAGGCGAAGGCACAAGCACAGGCACAGGTCAGGCCAAGAGAGGTGCAAAGGCAGAGCCCATAGAAGCCGTCGAGGAAGCAGGGCCCAGAGAGCGCACAAGGACCCCGCGCCGACCAGAAGCAGCTCCCCCAAAGGGTGCTGCCCAGGCGCACCGGGGTCGAGGGCGCAGCGGGTCCTGGCCGCCCAAGCGGCAAGCATCTTCTTCACCAGAGGGTGCGGTTTCTGAGGGTGACTCCCCAAGGTCACGTGCACCGGCGACCAAGGAGAGCCTGCCAAAGGCGCGGCAGTCGCAGCCAAAGCTGCCCTCGAAGGTGCCACCCACAGATAGGCACGGGGTAAAGTATAAGTCCCCTCCTGTGCCGGCGCCACCCGCGCCAAAGGGGACGGCAGCACAGGCGGTGTTCAAGGGCCCGCCGCACGCTGTGTTTGTGGCTAGCATCACCAGAGGTGGCCAGGAGCAGCCCAAAGCAACTTCCAAGGCTCCGCCGCCGATTGTCACCGGCAACCGCCAGAAGCTAGCTTATCACGCGTGGGCACAGCAGGCTAGAGACGAGGAGAACGCCCAGGCCGCAGCTTCAAGCGCGGCAGCTGCCAGTGCTTCCTCGCAAAGGGTGCTTGCTTCGCGCACCGAGGCCACGATTGTCTTCGACTGGCACCACGTCTTAGACAAGGCCTGGATCGAGTCCACAGGAGCTACCTGGGAGACCCGCCGTGGCTCCCACGGATATTTCAACCTTGAGTTTGTGGACGCGCTCAAAGCATTCTGCGAGGAGCATAAGCCACTCCGATTGGCAATTTTAAGCTATAGCACACCCTCTTCATCGGCGTGGTATCGTCATCATTTCCTCGAAGAGGCCTTAGAGTGCTTGCGTTTGGTGTTGCCGCTGAGCATCAACCTCAGCATCGGCCAAACATATCAGCGCACTGGCCCCGACGGGAAGGCACAACAGTTGTGCCAGATAGAGCCGCCAGCAAGTCTCATTATTGACGACAATCGCGGCATTATAAAAGAGTGCGCGAAGACAGGCGCGCTCACTGTGCAGGCGCAGAAGGGTGGCGGCGTCGACCAGCTGATCTTCGAGCTCAACCAGGCAAGCGCGTTGATCAAGCGAACGGGGCGCAACAACCTCCCAAAGGCTCGCCACCTGGAGCCCCGCGAGCTCCTTTACGAGAGGTAGCGCCCCAGGGTGCTGCCATTGGCGCACCGGGCCGGCTCACCCAGCCTGCGTGTCGCCACCGCCTGCTCCTCTCGCGGCGCCCTAGGGTGCTGCTCCAAGCGCACCGGGCCACCTTAGTGGTTTAGTGCCTTGGGTTTTTGTAGCATAGGGGTCGCAAACGTCAGCCCCATCCTCTCGGGCCGCCGCCGCCGCACGACACCATCCCCTGTGGCGCACCGGGCCGGGTAAAAGGTCAAGGGTGCATTTGGGTTCTAGTGCTGGGTGGTGGTCCCTAGAGACAGTGTATCATACTTTTGCCTTTGTGTGTGTGCTGCCTTTTGCGCACAGCCGTCGGCACACACCTTCTTTCAAGACACTTGGTCCCCGAACGGGCCGACCATCGCGAGCATCAGTCACAAAAGTCTTTTCGAGAGTGGTTGCGTGAGGGGTCCTGTTTTCTTGCCCCCTCCCCTTTTGCCCTAAGGTTCTTTTGGGGATTCTTTCGGGTCCCGGCCGATAGGCGGTTTTCGTAGACAGGGTGTTGTTTGGGCTCAAAGGCTCAAGCTTCAGGAGGTGAAGCCATGTCAGGCATCTCCCCACCATCAGAAGACCGAAGCCGAAGCCGAGCATCCGGGGAATCCTCCTTTAGCGACCCAGAGCTTTTTAGCGGCCAGGCCTTGGTGCCAGCTGCGGCAACCATTCTTAGGATTAACCAACCTACCCCCGCACCACAAAGGAGTGAAGGGTATAGCTCGTCCTCCGCGGCGTCTCCCCCACAAAGGGGTCCCGAACTTAGCGCAACACAAGCCACCTTTATTGCAGGTGCCGCCGTGACACACGCCCACCACGCCTCCGGCGTTGCCTTGGGTGCTGCGTCCCTCGCGCACCAGGCTGCAGAAAGGGAACAGCAAACAGTTGCTCAAGCAAGGGAGGCTGTAATGCAAGCAGGCTTCCAAGCTGCAGCGGCCGAGGCACAGTACCGCGACGAGGCCCAGTCGATCGCACGAGCTGCGCAGGGTATCGTGGATGATGCTAGGTTTCGAGAAGCCAGCCTTAGGCAAGAAGCCCAATCTGCCATTGACGCCACCAATCGTGAGGCTCAACAACGGGTCTCGGTGATTCAAGGTGAGGCCCAGCAAGCCATAGCCCAAAGCAACCATTCAGCCCAAGCTAGGATTAGGTTAGTTGAGGGTGAGGCCCGGGGTTTATCAGAAGCTCTTCGGCAAGCCACTTTGGCACGAGAGCAGGCTGAGGTCGATAGGCAGGAAGCGGTTCAGCGTTTACAACAACGTGACGCTGATATCATGAGGCTGGCCGGCGAGATGGAGATCATGCAGCGACGCCACGAGGAGGCAATGGCCGTTATGGCCGAGCGGTACCGTGACCTTTCTGCTAAATTCGTGGAGAGTAGCAACACGCAGGCCCCACGAACTCCAACTAGAGCCCGTCTTGCCTTTCCGGAGATGTCTTTCTCCCCGGATACGAGTCGAAATGATACGGTCCAACAACCCAACACCCCTGTAGTGGAGCCAGTGCTTGGAGAACAAGAGACCCTAGGCACCCCGCTCGTCGAACAGCCGACAGGCGAGAGCGATGCACTCCAAGAGGGTGCAGCCGCCGGCGCACCAGGGGGGGAGGCCAGCACAGGACCTCCCGAAGATCCACAGCCTACTTCAGTAGACCAAAGGGTTGATGAATTGGCTAAGTTGGTTTCCGATCTAGCGAAGTTGGTTGCAGCTAACGCCGCTCACCCTGGGAACACCTCCGCGCCTTCGGGTGCGGCCCCAGGCGCACCAGCAGAAGCACAGCCCGAACAGTCACCACAGGTCCCGACCTTGTACCTAGGAGGCACTACACAAGCCATGGCGCCCCTAGGTTCACCGGGATCAGGCGGATCATCTAGCTCTTCGTCTTCATCAGGTTCCTCATCTAGGTCTGAGCACCCAGCTTGCAGGATGTGTGGCTCCAAGAACCACGCTGAGGAGGACTGTCCCGAGCTCACCTGTAACAGAGGTGAGGGCAAGGATCCGTCGCGTGATGGTGACGGGGCTGCAGCTTCAAGCGCGGCAGCTCCAAAGACCAACGCCGAGCTCGAAGAGGATACCATAAGGGTGAAGTCCCTATCCGATCTATCCTTCCCAAACCCGCCGCAAAACGCAGCACAAGCTAGAGGGTTTGTGAATCAGACGTTAATGGCCATTGGAAAACTTCAGAAGACCCCAGGCGATGAGGTTTACATCTGGGCACAGGAATGCCTTAAGAGGGAACCCGATGCACTTCGAAAGGATGGGCGCTTTCCTCGCCTTGACCGCGAGATCGCCGCTAAGCTCATCAAGGTGTGTCGTCACGGTCGCTTTGGGCTGCTTTTCCAGCAGATGGTCGAGTCTGAAAGGCTCAAGTCGGGTGGCATGCCCAATGGTCGCTGCATGTTGCGCGCCATTTATCGGCACTTCCAGCTGGAACGTGACCGCATGGGAATGTTAGCAGAACGCAACCTTCTGAACATTAAGATTGGAGGGGATGGTATCTCTCATCTGGAGGCATTTCGTGATAAGTATCACTACGTCGCCAATACCATTCCTGTGGAGGATCTACCCAAGGACAGTACGATCTTCAATCATCTGATCGATGAGTTCGATAAGGTTTCTGTTCTTAAGCCTAAGGTAGAGAAGGCAAGGGAGGCGAAGCCAGGTTCCCACCGTCGCACCGCCGCATGGTTGTGGAATCGCGTGGACATTGCAATTGACTTACACCAACAGCGTGTAAATCGGCAGGAGTTCGATAAGTCATTGCAACAGAAGCCAGAAGCCCTGACTTCCACCTCGCAGCCTTCAAAGCCCAGTGTGCCAGCGACACCCGCTCCGGGTGCTGCCGCAGGCGCACCGAAGGGTGGAAACACCGACAAGCCGAAGAAGGAAAAGAAGCGGAAGAAGAAGAAAAAGAACAAGGACGAGGACGAACCCGAGGTTGAAGTTCCAGGTGCCCCTGCCCCGAAAGGCAAAGGCAAAGGTAAAGGCGACAAGGGCGGAAAGGGCAACGGCACACCGCGTACCCCGAAGGGTGGTGACACGACGCCTAGATCTGCCCAGGCCAAGAGCGCCAGGAACATGACCCCGGAGGAGAAGGCCAAGACGCCGTGTATGTTTTGGGCGTTTGGGGCGTGCAAGGGTGATCCCTGCCCGTTCCTTCACGACAGCAAAAACAAGTACACCGGTCCTAAGCCCAAGTCCCTCGCAAAACCAGACGCTAAGGCTAAGCCTAAGGCAAAGGCGAAGGCGAACGCCGCAACGGCTCCTTTAGTCAATGCTCTCCCCGCCGAGCTGAACCAGGATGGCAAGATCACCTGGCTCTGGGATACGGCAGCAGGTAGGCACTTGATAGGTCGCCAGGCGCTTTCGTCCAAGGCCCTTTCCTGTGTCACTCGCTCCGAGACGCCTGTGGGTTTTGCCACTGGCGGCGGCGCGCGTGAAGGAACTCACAGCCTAGCGTTTGAAGGCAGTCGCTTGCTTCCTTCAGAAGAACAGGTTTACGTGCTGAAGGAGTGCCCTCCAGCCTTTTCTGTAGGCAAGGCAGTCCTGGACGAGGGATCACTTTTTGTGTGGGATCCTCGCGAGCATCGTCCATACTTCGTGAAGAAGGAAGATGTGCACCGCTGCAAGCTTCGAGTCCCGCGCAAAGCGAGGATCAATGCGACTAGGGTCGTAGAATATGTCCCTCAATTCGAGGAGACATTGCGCCCGGCAGTAAGAGAGCAGAGCTCAAGCCTGAGTCCCATTACTGCCTCTGCTTCCCCAGCGCCAAGGGATGATGATGCTGTTTCCTTCAGCGATTTCGAGGTCGCCGATCTTGAAGAAGCTGGAGCGAGCTATCCTCGCACAACCTCTGGCGATTACGATTGGGAAGCAGACGTCGTAGAGAAGCATGCAGAGAAGAAGGCTGAAGCGAAACGGCTTTTTCGCGAAGGCGCTGTAGGTGAGACAGCTGCCGGTGAGAGCTCCGAAGAAGAACTCTTTCCTGAACTCTTCAAGGAGAAGTCTGCTAGCACACAGCCGCCTGCCAAAGGTACACCTGCAAAGGAGGCTGCCTCAGGCGCCTCTAGTTCGCGTGAGGGGGCTGCTCCAAGCGCCCCTTCCACAGAGCAACCACCGCTGGTGCCACCTCCTCCAGAGCCTCACTCTAAGACCGAAGAACTTAGAGCCGAAGCCACGTCTGAGAAACACCTTAGGACCCACTTTCCTAAGAATCCCTTTTGCAAGATCTGTCACATCGCCAAGACCACCTCAATGCGTGTGGCTCACAAGCCCGATGCCAAGGCAGATGACATGATTGATGTTCCCACTGCACCGTTTCAACAGCTCGCCACTGATGATGTCATCATGGCCAAAGGTGACGAACACCGAGGCATAGGAACCGGCGGAGTGAAGTCACATCATGTTATAAGGGATGTTTTCTCAGGGGCTAGAGTTGCGTACCCTATGACCCGTAGGGGTGCTGCCCAGCACGCACGTAACTTTCGGCACTTTATAGGTCTTAGGGCGCACGAGCTGTCGCCAACCTGTCTCATTAAATTAGATGAAGCAGGTGAGTTGATAGTAGCGGCGGAGGAGGTAGGCTTGACCCCGGAACCCTCTCTTCCCAACAGATGGCCTCACAACGCCTTGCTGGAGAGGGATATCCGCGAGGAGAAAGAGTGCTGCCGAGCTATCCACTTACAGAGTGGTTTGCCATACGACATGCATTCTTACTCGTACCCTTACGCGTGCCTTTCCTTGTCCTTCGACAGGATTGCACCGATAGGGGGGGTCACACAGTGGGAGGCCCTCACAAAGGAGCCCTTCAATGGGAAGAGGGCCTGTTTTGGGCAACTGGTCTGGTACCGCTCTAAAGGTTCTAAGCGTACTCTTGAACCCAACATGTCACCAGGGCTTTTCCTAGGGTGGCGGATAGACGCTGGTATGCGCTATCGCAATGTTGTTAAGGTTCTTGATTACAATGACTTTCGCGGCAAACGCAACACATCTGTTCATGATGTCCCAGAACCTGAGCTGTACATCGAAGACGGTCCGCCCATCTTCCCTGTTGCAAACGCTACCCGTAAGGCGCTAGTCGACGGCTCCACTTTGAGTGCTGCCTCTGGCGCACTGCCCGAGATCCCATTGCGGGAGATTCCCTTTGCTCTTGAAAGCATCGGGCCGCCGGCGCCCAGAACACCTGGCGTTAGGACGGTTTATATCACCGCTGATAGGATTGTTAAGTTCGGGGAAACGCCGGGTTGCTTAGCGTGTAGAGGTAAGGCCACAAAGCACACCGACACTTGCAGAGCACGCTTTGCCGAGCTTGTTAAAGCAGACAAGGAAGAAGCTGCCGCAAGGAGGGCTGCGCTTCGCGCCCTAGGTGAGTCACCCGAGACTCCCGCACCAAGTGTTGCACCAGAGACTCCCTTTCCAAGCGCTGCTCCAGAAACCCCAGCTCCAAGCGTAGCACCAAGCACTCCGGTACCTCCTCCTTCTGCTACCGTGAGCGTTGTTTCAGCAGGCGCTGCCTTGCCACCGTGCACTGCCAGTGCCACGTGTCTTTTGGACACTGTACGCGGAAAGGAAGACCTACCTGTTTTCGGTTTAGCTGCCCCCTCCACACCACGTTTCGGGGAAGACAAAGCACACCTAAGAGGTAACAAGCGGAGTCGAAGGAGAGGGAAGCCTACTAAGCTCACGACTGTCTTCGAGTATGCATGTTCCCAAAACTCAATGTTAGGGCGTGTAAACGAGGAGCTTGGAGTACCACACGTACGCCTCGCCAAAGAGACCTTGGACGTTGAGAACGAGCTTGTAGCTGCCCAACTGCACGAACAGTTTAGGGCGTGTCCGAAGAGTCACCTCTGGGTGTCTCTGCCCTGCACCTCTGGATGCCAATGGCATCGCGTTCAGCTCAAGAGGGGCGGTGGCGAGTATCGCGCACGACTCCTGCAAAAGATTCATAGGTCTAAGAAGTTGTTCGCACAGTTTGCTGAGCATGCTAAGACCGCGCTTGACCTCGGGATTGACGTCACGTTTGAGTGGCCGAGGTATTCCGATTCATGGAAGAGGCCAGACGTTAAGGAGTTCTTTAAGGATCCTAGGTTTAAGGTTGTTGACTTTGATGGTTGTATGTTAGGGGTGTCCGCTTCAGGGGGGCAGCCGGTTAAGAAACCATGGTGCCTCATGACAACATCCACATCTATCGTATCAGCCTTTGAGGGGATCAACTGCAACCATGATCCGAGTGAGCACGTTGAGGCTCGAGGAAAGGATCTTGAACTCACTGGGTTGTACACGCAAGAGATGTGTGAGCGCATTGCCTTTGCCATCAACCCCAGTAGGGCCTTTATCTCGGTACCTGCGATGCCGATCTTACCCACTTCCACAAATTCAGAACACCGTGAAAAAGAGCAGGAACTGAAGCACGTTTCCGCACTCAGCGGATACGAGGACCTAGCCGCAGTAATAGAGTCTGACGAGGAAGCTTCTAAGCTCGTTGAGGAAGTCGTTGACCTCCATGCCCTTATGTGTGCAGTGCATGGCATACCTAAGGAAGCACCTTCCAAAGAGGTGTCCGCAATGGTAACGAAACTTCTCTCTAGAGCGGAAATGTTGTCTTCACCTGAGGCCCTTAATGCGGTCAAGCAGGAAGCTGACGGTCTTCGCGCAGTCCCTGTGTGGGATGAAACGAACCCACAAGAATACGCTAGTGTCCAGGCACAGGCACGCCGCACAGGCACTAAGGTACACTTCGGTAAGCTAATGAGCATTGCCTCCATCAAGTTTTGGGAGCTTGCCAAGCACCTTCAGAAGGTTAAGGGCCGAATCGTGTATCGAGGTGACTGTGCCAAGGACGAAGAGGGCGCCGCAGCGGTTTACAGAGAGTTAGGTGCAAACCCCACCTCTGTTCAGGGACTTAATGCCTGCTTAGCTTACGGTAGCTTGCCCGGTCATCAGTCCAGTGCCGCAGACGCCGTCAAAGCGTACGTGCAAGCTCTTCTAAAATCCAAGTACCAGACTTGGATAGAGTTGCCGCCTGAACTCCGTCCTTCCTGGTGGCGTGAGTGTTTCGCTCGTCCAGTGGTGCTGCTCTTACGCGCACTATACGGTCACCCGGAAGCAGGCGGACTTTGGGAGAAGCACCTTAAAGGGGTTTTAAGAAGCATGGGTGGACAAGAACTGCCGGAATATCCGGGTAACTTTTGGTTCCCTGAGACTAAACTCCTTCTTTCCACCTATGTAGATGATCTTACCCTCTCTGGACCACAGGAGGAGCACCAACCCTTTTGGGATGCTTTATGTAAGGTTGTTGACGTAGAACCCCCGGAGCCTGTGTATAGGATCTTAGGCCGCAACCATTGCACTATCAACGCCGAGCCCGAAGGCACCGAGAATGCTGCCCTAGGCGCATTAAAGGGTGCCATGGCGTTTGATATGTTTGATTACGCACAGCAGACAGTAGACCTATACAAGGGCCTTACTGGCCTTAAGACTCTAAAGCATGCTGCCACACCTTTCGCTCCTGAGGCTTCACTTCCAGTAAGTCAAGAGGAGATTGCTGGGGAGCTGGCTCCTAACGCATGTAAGGTGCTGATGAAGGCCCTTTGGCTAGGCAGACTTGCACGTCCTGACTTAGTCAAGCCGATAGGTGACCTAGCGACCAAGGTGCAAAAGTGGTCGAGGAACGACGATAAGAAGCTTCTTCGCTTGATAAGCTATATCGATTCCACGAAGACCCACCGCCTTGTAGGCACTGTGTCGGACGGGCCAAGGGAGCTGCATCTTGCGCTCTACGTCGATGCTGACTTTGCGGGGGAAAGGGATGATGCCAAGTCCACTAGTGGAGGTTTCTTAGTCCTTAAAGGTCCCAACACCTTCTTTCCCTTAGCATGGGTGTCAAAGCGCCAGACTTCTGTGAGCCGAAGCACCACAGAATCTGAGATTGTGTCTCTAGCTCATAGTCTTTTCCAAGAAGCGCTTCCAGCTTTGCAGCTCTGGCAAACGATCCTCGACTACCCCATAAGGTTAGTCATTCATGAGGACAACCAGGCTACGATCCTTGTTGCGAAGAAGGGCTATTCGCCAAAGCTTAGGCACATAGCGCGCACCCACAAGGTCAATTTGGGTTCAATCTCCGAGGTGATTGAGGAGGATGATGTAGATATTGAGTATGTCGATACGAACTTGCAGGCCGCCGACATCTTCACCAAAGCACTTCCACCACAAAAGTGGGACAATGCATTGAAGTTGTTGGGCATGCGCCAGAAACTCCCTGAGGTTTTGGTGGACACGAGACAGCTCAAGACTAAAGCCGGTAGTGGCCCTACCACCTCTTCCACTTCGGGTTCTAGTCCCAAGTAGCGGCGTTCACTTTTGCACAGCTTGCCGGAGGGAGCTGCTTTTAGCGCTCTTCCCGCTAGGGGGGCTGCCATAGGCGCCCGTGTGCTTAGGGGGCTGCTTTAAGCGCCCCATTGTACAGTTCCGTAGTCTGCAGTTGACTCTGGCGAGGGGGGAGTTAAAAGAATACGACCCCAGAGGCCCAGCAGAGCATAGGTTCAGAGGCCCCAAGCTTAAGTAAGCAGAGGGCATGTTTCACTTGACTATGGACGCCACTTTGGCTCAAGATAAAAGGGGCTTTGCAGTTAGATGCCCTGGTTCTTTAGAGGGTTGGCCGGGTTTAAGTACCTTCCTTCCCTCTTGATTATAAGAACCCTGAACCCGGATCGTGAGCTCACTGCTATAACACAGCACACCCCTAAACCCTAAGGTTGAAAGCCTAAAACCCACTACGATGCCCAGTAGTACCCTTATTCCCTTGTTGTAGTCCTGGGTTCCTTATAAAGTTACCCAATACCAAAAAGATAGGCCTTTTTATTCTTAGGTCACTGGGTATCCTAGCCCAAAGTTCTAAACTCCCTAAACCCTAAATCCTGAACTCCCTAAACCCTAAACCCTAAATCCTAAACCCTAAACCCTAAAACCCAAAGTTCTAAACTCCGAAGGCCTTTTGAAAAGCATCCCAGGTGTGGCCTGAAAACGCTCCCTGCGGCCGCAGTGGATGCGGAGGTGCAGCCCTAGAATTAGGGACCCCAAAGGATCATGGGACTTACTAAGTAAGGCCTAGGGTTCCTTAAAGGGCACCTTTAAGGGTTACTATAAGGATTCTACAAGGGTTTAGGGTTTAGGGTTTAGGGACCCAAAAAGCACATAAGCCATAAGCATTTTACCGGGGTATATCCCTACCTTGTTGGGCTTCCTTTTAAGGGGGATTTATATGGGATATCCCTATCCTAATTTTTGCTTATGTGCTTTTTTGGGGCCCTACAGAAGGGAGTTCGCATAGGGTTTAGGGTTTACACGGCGTAGGGTAGTAGTAGGGTGCAGGAACAAGAGATGTGAAAAAGTGTTGTTTTCCGCTTGATGTTACAAGGACATCCGGTAGTCCTCTGTTCCTTCAACCAAGACCCTGAACCTAAATGGACCCACATCGCACATCTTGAAGCCTAAATAAGCCCAGTCCTAAGAAAGCTTTGGGAAGGAAAGGTTGGAGAAAGGGGCTCAGCTCATGCTTTGTAGAATACGCCTGCGCTATCCAAGATGCTATGGATAATGCCCGGTAACCAGGACTTGGGGTTGGCTGTGACCCTGCAGGTTAAGCCAAACATGGCGCTAAATACGACATCGAAAGTTTCTCCATCCCTCAAGACCTTCAACTCCATAGAACAGGGGCTTAACTCTATAGGTCGCTAGCCTACTACTTTGTAAGGCTTGAGGTTTCAGGAAACCAAAACGGCAAGACCAAGAAAGCACCCACAAGATTAACAGTCCCAACCGTAGAAATCCTAAATCCCAAACCCTACAAGTACAAACTCTTAAGAACCTTAGACCAAAACCTAGGAGCACAAACCAAAACAACGGAGCGTTAATAATTAGAATATGGTTTTGGGGCCCGTTCTACTTTAAATATATTAAGGAACCCCCAAAATAGTGTAGGCACTTGTCTGGGTTGTGCTTTGGGATAATTTTTAATTTCCCTTATTTCCTCATAAAGGGAACCTATGCATAAATAAGTTTCAAATGGTTTAAAGCACAATCCAGTTGTTACAAGGGAGGCCCCTATATTACAGTACAGTCGGGCTGACTGCTGCGACTCAAGGCTGCAAGCCTGCGCACCGTGGACCTTACATCCAACTGGCTGAAGGTGGGAGTTTCCGAAAATTGGGGGGTACCTTACTTGGGGGTCCTTACAACAAGGATCCTACTATTTAGGGTACGATATTAGGGTCCCCTATTTTCGGAAACTCCGAGGTGTGGAAACTTTGGGATTTAAGGATTAGTTCTTTGGGCTAAGGGTTCTTTGAAGGCTCCTTATGTGAACCTTTAACGGCTCCTTTCAGGGATCAATACCATACGCGGTCTATGAAGGTTTAGCTCCTTGGCTTCTATCTGTTAAGCGTCTAGGGATGTTTAAAGGTCGTTAATGTAAGCCTTGGCGGGTTCCTGCAATTGAAGGGGTTTGATAGGCTTGGGACGTAGGTTCTGGGTGTGGGTTTCGGGGTTAAGAGTTGAGATTTTCAGGGTTTAGGGTTAAGGGTTAAGGGTTCTGGTTTCAAAGGAAGACAGGGGTCAAGGCGCTAGGCTTTGGAGGAGCTCAGGATCTGGATAGGCTTGGAGTCATGGCTAAGAGGTGTCTTGCATTCGTATTTATGGGACTCGTTACGCATGGCTACCCATAAGCCTGCGAACGGGCACAGTGGTGGGTTAATCTCCCAGAGGGTCCATAGACACTACCAGTATGGAGTTGGGTCCCAAAAGACCATCTCCATTATGGTTTTGGGACCTAACTCCATGGTTGTATTGCATATGGACCCTCTTGGTATGTGAGTCTCTTACAGTTGGTCTGGTTTTCAGAGCTTGACAGTTGCTTCTCTTGTTGATCCTGTTATCATAGTAGCCTTGATAATTGTTTCGGGATCCTCTAACAGGGTCCTTTAAATACCCCAAAACCCCATTCAAATTTTAAGGCGCTTGCATCATACAAATGGCCTCGCATCTCGAGCCTTGCCGATCGAGTGGCAATCTGGAGGGCCGGGCAAGCACAGGAGGAAAACGCATGAAGCCCAAACAACATCCAACCCGAAACCCTTATGTCGAAACCTCGAAACCCGAAAATCCTTAACCCTTGACTGACTGTAAACTCCGAAACCCTAAAAACCCTTACCACGTCAGACCGGCCGGCACAGGCACTTCCTGAAACGATCGGCAGCTGGACAGGCCAGATGCCTGGCTCCTCAAAGCCACAACACTTTGCACACTAAACTTTAAAACCCTAAATAAACCGACCCCAAGCCCTAAACCCCAAACCCTAAACCCCAAACCCTAAACCCCAAACCCTAAACCCCAAACCCTAGACCCCAAGCCCTAAACCCCAAGCCCTAAACCCCAAACCCTAGACCCGAAGCCCTAAACCCCAAACCTTAAACCCCAAACACTAGACCCCAAACCCTAGACCCCAAACCCTAAACCCCAAACCCGAGACCCCAAACCCCAGACCCTAAACCCTGAGCTCATCCCCCCAAGGAGGCGGTGAAAGCCTAAGATTTTGACTGTTTAGGCTGTAGGTTTTGGGGCCTAAGGGCTGTTCCGACACCCGTAAGCCGGACTTTCTAGTCTATTGAGGATGAAAAATTGGTAGTCATGTCGCTTTAGAGTCTCTATAGTGAACTGGTAATGCCATATGCCCCGATCTGTTTCTCTAATTGCTACATACGACCCTGAAATTAAATTCTTCAGCCCCCAAAGATTGAACTCAAACCTCAAGCCCGCCAGATCTTCCCTGAGCAGACGCCCCGGTATGCAAAGTTCCCTAGAGTTGCAGAGTCCTTCTGTGCACAACACTACCCGTAGAAACTTGTAGCTTAGGAAGTGAAGGGCAAATGCTGAACAATGCTTTACAACGCCCTCAAACAAATACAGAACCCCTCTATGCCCTTTGTACATACGCATGCATTACTGACAGAACCTATTTTTCCAAGAGTGCTTACACAGCCCAAACCCTTATTGAACCGTTATGGTGCCCTTATATGACTCCCTTAACCATTCTAGAGCCCTTTCATGATGCCCCTTACTTGTGAGCACTCATACAGAAACCCGTAAAGGGCCACTATAGGGCCCTGATGTAGATCCCTGAAAGGACCCGTTTGCTTTTCTCTAAATACCGAAAGGTAGAGATAAAATAATTCTGTATGTACATATATACACAGATATATACAAAAATCCCGAAAGGTAGACATAAAGTACATATGTACATATACACAGATACATACAAAAAGGAATCCTTCTAAAGGACCCCCGTTCTAAGAAGGCCTGCAGAGCCTCCTTTGCAGCGACAACGCCTTAACGGAGCTGCCGAAAGCCATCTCTCAGTTGGCCCGGGGCCTGGATTTCGGGTTCCTGAGTGGTTTAGGGCCTTAGGGTTTAGGGTTTAGGGTGTGGTAATTACCCTTAGACAACAAAGTAAGTCCTTTTTGGGGGTTACCTTATAGGATTCTTCATATGAACCCCCAAAAGGAACTACTTTGGGGCCTTAGGGTACCCTTGTCCACTTTTTTGGGGGCCCCTGATTACAATCCAATATGATGAAAAAGGGTACCCTTATTATGAAGGGGCTACTCAGAAACTGGAATTGGGGAGATTTTTAATTTGAAAACAAAAAAGTGGTGAGGATTTAAGGGTTTTCCATAGGGGTTTGGGGGCATGGGAGGGTTTTTTGGGTTTCATAGATTTCTTCTAGATCTTAGTGTCGGGTTGCGGCTCAGTACAACTCTGTCGAAGCAGATGGATTCGCTTTTTGTCAGTTGGTGTGAGGTTGGCGAGCTTGGCTGCAAAGCTCCGGGGCCCCATGGAATTTCAACACCCACATCGAGGTTTCCGAAAGTTAGGCCTGCTATTTAGGCTACTATATTGAGGTCCCCCCATTTTCGGAAGCTCCCACATAAAATACAAACTGCAAGAGATCCCTCATAGGATCACCAGAACCCGCACACCCCACTTGTGACACGCTGCCCGCACTCTAGGTCTAGTCCCAAGCAATGCCTCTTTCACCTGAGCCCCACATCCGAAATCCGAAATCTGAAGCCCTGTAGCCTCCAAACCTTAATATCCCAAAACCTAACCCTAAGGCTCCATGTGCTCATCTAGTATATACTTAGGCCTTAAAGTACCGATATAGGGACCCCTTGAAGGCCTAAGTATCCAGCATAAAGGTACATGGAGCCTTTGGGTAGCAACCTTAGGAGCCCCAAATTCTCAAGCCCGAAGCACTAACCTGTCAACCCTTGAACTTGATCTCTGTAACCCAG